TTCATTATAACTTTCTACACTAGATTACATAATGTACACAGGCCTAAATGTCTTATGTAATAATTACTATCTGTTCATCTGTTATCTTAAGTTTATCTGGGGATGGGTTGTGATGTAAACAGCGCAAACTTTGATGCTTATCGACTCTGAGTTGGGTGGTACTACAGGCATAGAAACTGGGAAGAAACTTTACTTTTTTTAATAGTTTAACAGTCTGCATACTTTTACTCCTATATTTTAATTGAAGTAACAGTACTCTTAATTAGTAGTAATTTCCCCAATAACTTTTTTTTAGCTTTAGTAATTTCTTGGACTCCTATTTGAAGTAGGAGTCCAAGAATTTTTGCATACTCAGTCTCAGTGACGGAGTTAGCAATTTGTGGCAATTCTGTGAGTTTTTGGGCCCTCACTATAATGCACTAGTAATAAGTAGTTTTATTTTTTTGTTAGTACAATTATATTTTTGTTTGCATCCACTACATATAATGAGTTTTTTTTTTTTTTTTATGATTATTGTTGAAGAGTAAACTGCTCTCATGTAATGCCATACTGAGAGAAAATCAAATTGCTCTGAGGCCTCGGTCATTAGTGGCACTGAGGGCAATTGGTTGGGGCCCCCTTCAGGTTTGGGGGCCCTAGGCAGCCGTCTACATGTGCCTAATGGTAGCGCCGCCTCTGCTCTGCTTACCTCTGTAGATTCCCCTTTCCATAGACGGGAATAGGCCTATCATGGACACTTAAACACCTGATGCAATTGTGTGTTTTCCAACACTAAACTAATAATTCTCTTAAAAAAGTTTCGATTTGAATTTGCAATATTGCTGTGATGGCTACTTCTACTACTAGATTCAAGATTCAAAAATCTATTGTCATTTATTGTCACAAGTAATAACAAAGTTACATTTAGAGCATTAAACAGTAGTGTGCTAATACAAACAGTATCAGTGCAATTCATAAAGTATTAGAACGTAAACATAAACACTACTGAAGTACTGCTCACTGCTATTACTGATGGGGATGCACCGATCCGGCTTTTTCAGTTCTGATACAGATTTCAGTGCTATAGCTTTAAGCATCTGCCAACCCCTGTTATGAACCGATACCAGTGCAGAGACTAAAAAATCACATTAAGGAAAGTGTGAGAGTGTCCTTAACCGGCCCTTGAGTAACGCTCCTCAGATTTATCCAATAAAACACCAAATGAAACGCACGAGCCAGGGGAATGACGGTAACCCTAAACAACTCCTCAGTTTCCAGGATTCTCTTTTGTCTCTTTCTCTAAATCAATTCATTTGATAAAGTCCCTTTGCAGGCCCAATTACGGTCACCATGGAGACAGATCAAACCGGTCTGACCAGGGCACAAAGCCTCTTTCATTCAGACCAGTGCCCGCTCTGCATTCACAGGCCGTCCAGCAGAATATTAGAGTGGACAAGGAAGAGGCCACAGGACAGTGGGACATTTGTGTTATGTTTCTGTGGAAGTGGTTTGAAATGCAAAATATCAGAGAGGAAATATCTAGGAAACTTTGGTATATGTTTTGAAAGAAGGAAACAGATTATATTTTGAGAACAGACAGATTTCTTGCATCAGTATAGCAACATACCGTATTTTTCAGACTATAAGTCGCACTTTTTGGGGGAAATGTATTTTATAAAATCAGAGACCAGGAACCAACATTTCATCTTGAAAGTGAAGTTCTAGTAATAACAATAAAACAGAGAACAACAGGCTGTTAACGTCACATATAAACAGTTCTTCAGATAACTATATAGCATAAACAACAGAACAGAACAAGTTTCCCAAACTCTCCAACTCACTACAAATCACTAAATCCATTCAATTCTTTATCCTCGGTGTCACTTCTGGGCAACTCCGTGACCTCTGAAATGGAGCACCGCTTCCTCTTCTGTGTAGCTGTCATCAGACTCAGCATCAGTTCCAGTTAGAATTATTCCAGCCTGTCTGAATCCCGACAGGATGTTTTGGTTGTCACTGAAGTTCAGGCTCCATCCAGTGACTTCCAGGAAAGCTGCACGGTGCACTTGGTTGCCGCAAAGCTGTGTTCTCCATCCCCGCTCTCCGCCAGTCCCTCACAAGTTTCTCGCTCACTCCAAACTTTTTTTCTGCTGCTCGATTACCGTTTTCAGGTGCATATTTCACTACTTGCAGCAGGACAGAGGCTTTTTCTGCAGGAGACATGCGCAGTAGAGTGAAGTGACAGTGGTACAGGAGTAACAGGAGCAGCAGATACTGACACACACAAGACTAGAGCGCCCTCTTGTGGCTGTCAATGTGAAAATTTTTATATATATAGGTCGCACCGAAGTATAAGTCACAGGAAACACCCAAACCATGAAAAAAAGTGCAACTTATAGCCCGAAAAATACGGTAATTGTGTTCATGTAATAAAATAAAATGTGCTTTGTCCCAGTGCTGATATATCGTAAAAGCAGCTCATACCCCTGGAGCTACAGGTTACATAGGTGAAGCTGCATACACGTGTACCGTATATATATTTAAAAGTGAGAATTTACACCAGAGACATCAGACCTGCTCCTGCAACACTCGCCTTTTTAACACCATCAGTTTTCTACATATACATACTGATCAAAGGCTGGCAGCAATAACAAGTTGTGGCTCGTGTTCGCATTAATTAACCTACTATTAAAGTCTTGGTGTCTGCACGCCATGTGAATTTTCTTTTCTTAAGTTCTCCTTGTAAAATTGAGGTTTGATGTTGTTAGGTGTATCATATTTATCCCCCAAGGCTATAAACATTTCGTAGTCCAACATGAGTCATTCCCCGAGCTATTGGATGCAGCACATGTCGTTATGCAACTGTAGTTTTTGAAGAAATTATTTTAAAAGGACATTGGAAGTTTAGCTTTAGAACAACACACTTTTTCCAGTTTTTTTACCGTTTACTGTTGACCAAAACATATTCTAAACTTTTGATTCATGAAAGTAGCCACCTCAACACACTCATGGCTCGTTCTTTTTACAGTAGAAATCAAAATATTCTTCACAAAGTTCTTCCCAAGTCTGTTGCAGAAGTTCCCATAAATGTGTAGCACTTGTAGGTTTCTTGGCTTTTGCTCTTCTGTCCAGTTCATCCCAACCAGCTTGATGAGGTTTAAGTCTGGAGCCTGGACTGGACACTCCATGTTTTCAAGTTTTACCATCTTGTTCTTTTTTCCTGAGGTAGTTTTGGCCAACCTGGACTTGTGTTTTGTATCTTTTATCAGTTCTTACCTTTGTATCATTTCAAGCTCTTCATTGGACTTGCACGACTTGAATTGCAATAAATAACTGGAAAAATTAGGGTGTTCTAAAACTATTGACTAGTAGTGTACAGGGATGTAAAGATATCCAAATCTCTCAATACGATATTCTCACAATATTCATCTCATGGTATAATATTTATTGCGATATTTTGTGGAGGCAAAAAATAACAATAATAATACAAAATTGTGAGTATGCTACTTTTCTCTCATCATGCAAAAATCAAAAAAAAAAAATTATGACTTTAAAGTGCTTCAGTTAACAGTTATTTCAGCATGTAGATTGGACTGAAGCAGAGCAAAGGATCATGGTCTATGTAGTTCTCACTATTTTTTTAGCTGTTGCAGCACCAAAACAATGAATTTAAGCAAAGAGACTTGAGATTCAATATATTGTGATGACCTTTTGACAATACGAGATCACCGTCGCTGTGTGAAGGAGATGTTTCGCAGGTCTTTCCTTCCTGCTGCTGTCAGACTGTACAACAAACACTGTTAACACTGAACATGTGCCATTCAACTATATCTATGTGCAATTATTTTTAAGTCTATTTTTTAATTATTTTAAGCCATTATTTATTATCTGTTTTATTGCATGTTACCTTTTTCCTGCTGTTCTTGAATTGCACGTTGCAACATTGGAATTTCCCCACTGTGGGACTAACAAAGGCATATCTTGTCTTATCTTATCTTATCATGATATTTCAATTATAGATAAATCCCTAGTAGTGTACCTTTGACGTGCACAGGGCATTGCTGGTGTAGATTGTCTACAAGTTAATATTTAAATTCCTACATGTACTAGTATACTCTGTGTTTGTGTGCTGTTACGTCTTTGGTCTAAATTGGGGGTTAGGGTTAGAATGAGACCACCATGTGCTGTCTACATCTAATTATAATGCGTTTTATCGAGTGATGGGCGAATGGAGCCTCGTGAAGCATTGACACCTCAGTCGCAATATTGTCTCAAATGGTTCGACGTGTCTGAGGCTTTGGAGAAACACTGACCTCTAGTGGACAAATTAAGAATAAGACAATACTTGTGTGCAGAGCGACACCGTACCTATCAACAACAATAATAATAATGATGATTTAAAATAGTATGTAAAGAGCAACATAAATAGCAGCTGTAAATAAGAAAATAGGTGTGACCTTGTTAGGTGGAATTAGATCAAACTGATCCCAAACCATGGATCGCTTTTTTCCACTTGTAGATGCCATCGAAAAAGAAACAAATGCCAAAAGTTGCCAAAATCACCACTAACGTCACACAATACTCCTCACTACCCAACATTTTTAAGAAATATTGGTGCATCTTTTATACTGTAGCAGTTTAGCGCTTGTCAAACCACGGAAGTGCGCTGAACAATCTGAACCAATCACAGAGCGGAACATTCGCTGAGCCAATGAAACGCTTCGATACACTGAAGCGACTGACACGCAGAGTGAAGCAGTAGGGGGAGGGACCGACACTTCCACACTTTGGTCACGTGAGCGGCTGCTGCGAGACGAGCTCCGAGGCAGCGCTTCGGAGCAATTTGTTTCAGAAAGAACGAGACGCGCTCTGGAGCTCCATCCCATTGCCCATTTTATCTGATGTGCCGTTAGCATGCTAGTTGTTATATGCAGAGCAGTGAACCCATTTCCACCAGTCACTGTGATCCAAAACTGTTCGCATGTCCCTCACTGTCGCCCCCTGCTGTCTGTGTGTTACAGTGTTCCAGCAGCAGGCGGTCCACAGCCCCCACGAGCCGCAGCAGAAGTCCAAACCCAAGGCCGGACCCATCCCGTGTCAGAACTGTGGCAAGCCCTGCAAGGGAGAGGCCCTGCGCGTCCAGAACAAGCACTTCCACATCAAGTGCTTCGTCTGCAAAGGTAACACGCACCATTACACCGCACACAGCTCTCAAGTGGACTCCCGAACACCGCTCTGAAGCTATAGGCGCTATCTAATCAAGTGCTGCCTGTCCCTGGCGAGTGTCATTAGATTAGATAGAGAGGCCTGCAGTGGAGAGTTCACAGCAGATAGTGTTAGAGGTGTTAGAATTAAACAGTGATTTCACGACAGGCTGGGTTGGTTAATGAGAAACTAAACAACAGAGTGAGAATTAAAAGTATACCAGGTTTTCCCCCATGTATTTAAGTGCATTTTGTAGTACAAATATATTGTATAAGCAGCTCTTTGGGGTCAAAATAAGTCTGCTTTGTTTCTGCATTCTCCTGTGTTATTGTCCAATAATAAGGAAGTGTACATTAAATGGTAAAATCAGGGTTCCCACTCTTTAAATGACAGCATTTCAAATCTAAAACTTTTCCATTACTTTTACATGGCCTAAAGTGAATTTTCCATGACTTTACGGGACCTACATGTGTAGAATTGATCGAACTTTTAGGGCTAAATATGAAATGTTAACCTTTTCCACTCACCTTATGATTTGGTATTATAGTTTTTTAACATTCAAAATACTGTCAGTGAGTTTATTGTTGTCTCTTTTAAACAAAAGGCGCAGACGTAATCATAATCATAATCATAATAGTAATAATCATAATAGTCTGATGATAACTTAACAGAATGATGTGGTTGCGTGAAAGAGATACTAATGTTCTTATCCAGGATTTCCATGACCATGGGAACCCTGTAAAATGATAAATGGTCACATCTTTATACACCACTTTTCCACCTTCAAGGCACTCAAAGAAGTTTGCAAAAAGGAGCCACTCACTCATTCACCCATTCACACACAAAACAGTGTACACAGACACTGGGGGTGAGGTAGTGTCTTGCCCAAGGACACAATGACAGCATTTATCTGTGGGAGCTGGATACACACCAGCCAACCTGTGAGTCAGTGGATCTGATGTTTATGTCGAGAACAGTGGACAAACACTCAACCAACGGAGCTACTTTCGTCACTATTAACATGCTAGTTGTTATTAGTTCCCAGACTCCACACTGCTCTCTGAAAGTTGTGAAAAACTCATCATAGTGAATAATTAGAATGATTTGAATGCATTAAATAAGTGAGGAATAACTTTGAACCACTGCAAACAAGTTAAATAGTTCTGTTTTTCACATTTTTAACACAGCAAAAATCAGGTACAACACCTTTAGTAGTTTCTGTTTAAGTCTTCCTCATCCATCTCAATCCAATTTTATCTTGTAGCCAATAAAATATTAATGATTAAACACTGATTATAGTATTATAATTATATAAGCATGATGATTTAATTTTATGGCGCTATTTTGGGCTCTCAAAGTTGAAGGCATAATGACAGTTAGGGGTGTGCAAAAATACAGAAATATTGATATATCGTATCGTTTAATGTGATGATACAGTATTGATATTGTGGGCTGCTGTATCGATATATCACCAAGAGTATTTTTTTACTAAGTCATTTTGTTACAGAGCTACAGTTTTGTTGCTGTTTAGAGAAAGGAGAAAGGTTTTTGCAACACATTTGACATTTTCACTGTTTTGATGATTAAAATGTTTGTGTTTCATATTAATTTTGCACAAGAAGTGGTTTAACAAAGACTTTTAGTATCACAGCCATGATTTTTTAGCCTTTATTATTACTGAACTGTATCGAATTGATTTAAAACCGAATCAACAGGTCTCTACTTTGATGCTGTTTAAATCCAGGCCCAAAACAGTTTTGTTTAGCTGTGCATGTCCCTGAAAAGTTTTCATTTTTCATTCCACACTCTTCTCTCTAATTTAATATCTCTCTCTCTTTAATTTTATGTTGATTATTTATGTTTTGATTTGTTTGGATTGTGATTTTAATGTATATCTTACTCTGTAAAGCACTTTGAATACAAATATTAACTTGCCTATCGTATCATATTGAAAGCTCAATGTATCGAAATCTGTATCATATCGTGGCCTGTGTATCGAGGTATATCGAGGTGTATCATATCGGCAACTTCTTAATGATACCCAGTAGGGATGTAACAATAACCGAAATATCATGATATCGTGTCGTTAAACTTCTCAGAATAATATCATGGACCATCACAATATATCGAATTACAAGTCTTTTTGCTTAAATTAAGAGTTTTGGTGCAGCAACAGCTAAAAAAAGAAAGTGGGAACTACATAGACCATGAATCTTTGCTCCATTTCAGTGCAGACTACAAGAAGAAATAACAATTTTAAGCACTTTTACATCCTAGTTCTTTGGATTAAGTCTTGTCAAGGCATTTTAAGAGGAAAAAGTAACGTATTAGCGTCCACAAAAATCATAATAAATATCGTACCGTGAGATATATAGAGAAAATATCGTACCAAGAGATTTAGATATTGTTAAATCCCCCCCATATCATGAGCTTTCCCACGATATTGCAATAAATATCATACTGTGAGGTTCATACCGTATCGTGAGACTTGGATATCGTCACACCCCTAATACCCAGCCCTAATGACAGTATGTCCTAATCTGACTTTGAATTGAACTACCAACCCTCCAAACATTCCAACAACTAACCTGACCACTACCGGCTGCAGTAGAATAACGTCGCTAATATAGATCCAACCTTAAAATAAACTCCTTTGACTCGGGCCAGTGTGTGTTGGGTTTTGTGGACAGCGCGTGGAGCAGCTGCCGCTAAGTGAGTGTGATGGAACAGGTTCTGGTGATCGCAGCCAAAGTCATCATTTAGCACTTGTGCACCAGAGATTCACCACGCTAATGAGTTAGCAGTTTGTTCAAATACAGACACCACAGCCAACACAAGAACCAAGTTTATAACATGGAAGCCATCACCCTACGGAGATTTAGAAGATTAAAATAAACAAGAAAAACTAACAACGCAACTGAGTGCTTTGAGTGGTTTGGAATAGGCTGCACATCCAAGGCCTATTCCGTTTTCTTTTTTTAAGCTGCCACAGCAACATTATTCTGAAATGTTTACTATAATCCAACAGTGTGCGGCAATAACTGTGTCATTCAGTTTTGAGGGAAAAAAAATGTGTATGTCAGGTTTTAAAGGCATTGTGTCTTACCTGATTTTAGTTCATTTTGTACTGTTAATTGTCCAAAGTTATTCCTCATTCCCCCCAATTACGGTTCAGTACGTACCTCGGAGATTCTGTGCCGTCAAAAGTGACAACTAGGGCGCGACGACTGTAGTTTTGTGAGGATTCACGTGGTTGGGAGGGACGTGGTCAAGGTTGGGGGCAATTGTTGTCAAGGTGGCTGCCCTAACTATAAAGCACTGCGGGAAACACTGCCACCCCAATCACGAACGAGTTCCCTCGTGAATATTAAAGAGCCGAGTCTTCCATGTAGCTGCACATGTAGTGGTGGAACGTAAACACACACAAATTGTGCACAGCCCTGTATCAAACCCAGCGTCCTGTACCGAAACAGTTCGGCACAAATACATGTACCGTTACACCCCTAATAGAACATTACTCACAAATTATTCACAACAGTGAGTTTGGAAGCGCTTTTCACAACTTTCAGAGACCAGAGTGGAGTTTAGTTGTCACACCAATAGAGTGCGTATATATATACGGATAAAATAGATAAATAAAAGTGTTCATGGGGGCGTTTTCAGCTCCATCATCTCTGTTTCCAGTTTACTTTCTATTCAAAAATTGTCACCCTTCTCTCTGTAACTGCTGCTGTGAGCCTCATCATTTTGGTCTTAAAGTGTTTGTATTAACCCACTCTACATGATCCTGGTGTTTTTATTTCGCTGTTTTGTCTGTAAATAAATCCCTACTATGGAACTCGGCTCCAAATTTGCCCCATAACTGCTAGCCTTGGTGAGCTTCATTTGGCTGGAGTCTAACGCTGTGGGTGAGTCTATGGTCACACTACTGCTGCGGACAACTAGCATGCTAACAGCGCACCAGAATTACTTCCTGGTTCATGCCCGATATAACCTCTTTATAGTTATAAGCAGACAGCACCCAGCAGTCCCATTTTGACCCCAAGAGCTGCTTTTACAATACATCAAAGTTCATTTTACTTTTTAGAGATTTTCACTAATTAGTTAACAAAATTTTGACGATTAACGAAAAAGGTATTGAACAAGTACTCCATTTTTGAGTCTGTTTACACTTGTCCCAGCCTCCATCAGGTGACTTGGCGGATGTGATTGAATACCGTCCCCCGTTAAGAATCCCGTAATATCAGTTCCCCCCGTCCTGTCCCGTGTGGGTGTATTCCGGGACCCTAGTGTTACATATTTGAAACAGAAGTCGTTCTATGTTGGTGTGCTTGTGACTGGGTGGGTCGTGGGTGCTGGTGGGTGGCGGTGGGTGTCACTCACTGCTGTTGTCGGTACACACTGCGGTTGCTAAGACACCGCCGGGGTCACAGTGGAGTTTATGGCCCTTAATCTCATGTTGACTTCAGACACGCCGATAGACATTCCTGCAGAGCTATTTTTCAGTTGTTTCTGTGATAATGTGTTATGCTAAATGTGGTTAAACGTGGTATTCTTGCTGTAAAATGTTTGCATTGTTTGGACGTCTTGTGGAGAAATGCATTATATCGTCTTAGATTATGTTGAAACTGGCCTTGAAAGTGAGCATGCACAAAAAAATAAAAATAAATACATAAATAAATGTACTGTATGTATGAGAATAATCTTTAAAAAATGTTTTAAAACCCAAAAATGCAACTTAAAAACAAGGGTAGAATGTGATATTTTTTCACGTTGTGTGTGTTTATTTTACCATTTGCTTCTTGTCAGCGTATTCATAAAACTTTATTAGTTTCACAGTGTGGAAATTACAGTATTCCAGTGCTCGATTCCAAGTTCAAGAACAGCAGGAGAGTAAGATAATGCGATCAAATTCAAGATCAAGATAAATAATACTATGAAGATTTACAGTAGCCCTAAAAAAGTAGCACAAGAC